GGGAAAACTGGTTAGCAGTCTGCAAAAAACTGAAACTAGATCCATGTATATCACCCTATACCAAGATTAACTCAAAATGGATCAAGGATCTTAATATCAGACCTCAAACTCTAAAAGTTGATACAGGAAAGAATAGGAAATACTCTGGAATTAGTAGGTATAGGTAAGAACTTTGTCAACGAAACCCCAACAGCAGAGCAACTAAGAGATAGCATAGGTAAATGGGACCTCATAAGCAAAAAAGCTTCTGTTCATCAAAAGAAATGGTCTCTAAACTGAAGAGAACACCACAGAGTGGGAGAAAATATTTGCCAGCTATACATCAGACATAAGGACTGATAACCAGAATATATAGGGAACTTAAAAAACTAAATTCTCCCAAAACTAATGAACCAATAAAGAAATGGGCAAGTGAACTAAACAAAACTTTCTCAAAAGAAGAAATTCAAATGGCCAAAAAACACATGAAAAAATGCTCACCATCCCTAGCAATAAAGGAAATGCAAATTAACACCACACTAAGATTCCACCTCACCCCTGTTAGAATAGCCATCATCAGCAACACCACCAACAACAGGTGTTGGTGAGGATGAGGGGAAAAAGGAACCCTCATACACTGTTGGTGGGAATGTAAACTAGTAAAACCACTCTGGAAAAAAATTTGGAGGCTACTTAAAAAGCTGGACATTGATCTACCATTTGATCCAGCAATACCACTCTTGGGGATATCCCAAAAGACTGTGACACAGGTTACTCCAGAGGCACCTGCACACCATGTTTATTGCGGCACTATTCACAATAGCCAAGTTATGGAAACAGCCAAGATGCCCCACCACTGACGAATGGATTAAGAAAATGGTATCTATACACAATGGAATTTTATGCAGCCATGAAGAACGAAATGTTATCATTCGCTGGTAAATGGATGGAATTGGAGAACATCATTCTGAGTGAGGTTAGCCTGGCCCAAAAGACCAAAAATCGCATGTTCTCCCTCATATGTGGACATTAGATCAAGGGCAAACACAACAAGGGGATTGGACTATGAGCACATGATAAAAGCGAGAGCACACAAGGGAGGGGTGAGGATAGGTAAGACACCTAAAAAACTAGCTAGCATTTGTTGCCCTTAATGCAGAGAAACTAAAGCAGATACCTTAAAGCAACTGAGGCCAATAGGAAAAGGGGACCAGGAACTAGAGAAAAGGTTAGATCAAAAAGAATTAACCTAGAAGGTAACACCCACGCACAGGAAATCAATGTGAGTCAATGCCCTGTATAGCTATCCTTATCTCAACCAGCAAAAACCCTTGCTCCTTCCTATTGTTGCTTATACTCTCTCTACAACAAAATTAGAAATAAGGGCAAAATAGTTTCTGCTGGGTATTGAGGGGGTGGGGGGAGAGGAGGGGGCGGAGTGGGTGGTAAGGAGGGTGGGGGCAGGGGAGAAATGAACCCAAGCCTTGTATGCACATATGAATAATAAAAGAAAAATAAAAAAAAAAAAAAAAAAAAAACGCCGGTCCAAAAAAAAAAAAAAAGTTTCAGTAGCAAACAACAGCAAATAAAAGCAAAATAAAAAAACCCAGCAAATAAGAAAATTATATCTAAAATCAAAGGGCTTTTATGAAGAAAATCATAAAACTCCATTGAAATGCATAAAAAAGACAAATAAAAGGAGCGATATGCCATGGTTATCAAAGAATCAATATTTAAAAGTTGTGAGTACTCCCAGAATAATCTGTAGATTGAATGTGATTTCAAAATTTCAAAGGCAGACTGTTTAAAAAAAGAATTCAACTCCCATTATCACCAAAAAAAAAAAAATGTGATTATGGATATTATTTACATTTTAATCTCTATATTTATAATTCTTTACAATAAATCTTTAAATTTATTTTATTTTTACAAAACAAAACACATTGTGGGGAGGAAGGCTTTGTACCATCACTTATTAAAACTTATAAAAGCTGCTGACATTGAGATGCTATGGTATCAGATTAGGAAAAAGAGAAAGACCAAGGGAACAGAACAGAGAACCCTGACACGGACTAGTTTATTTCAGCATGTATAGGTATGTTGTGCCCGGGACAGAGGTGACTGTGCAGATGTTGGCAATTGTCCTGAGTCAATTTCATGCTCCAGGTGAAAAGAAATTAAAAACTTACATTATATACTAAAAATCATTTTACATTTAAACCCCAAACCCATTTCACATTAAGTCTTGCTGAGCAGGTGCTTTACCACTTGAGTCACTCTGCCAGCCCTTTTTTTGTGATGGATTTTTTTGAGATACCGGTCTCATGAACTATTTGCCTGGGCTGGCCTCCAACTGTGATCCTCCTGATCTCTGCCTCCCAAGTAGCTAGGATTACAGGAATGAGCTACCCGTGCCTGGCATAAGGTAGGATTTCTTAAGACAAGATACTAAGTATAATCCATAAAGAAGATGGACACATTTGAGTACATTAAAGCCAAGAATTTGTTTCCATTAAAAGATATCATAAAGAAAAAGACAAACTATATACTGGGAAATAGTTCCAATAGTTAACTGTCAAAAGATCAAATTAGTAGCTACAATATATAAAGGACTCCCAAAATAAAAGGAAAGCACTCTAAAAGAAAAACGACAAAAGATGTAGATAAGCATTTCACAGAATTGGAAATATAAATGGCCATTTAACATTTAGGAGAGCACACAAAATGCCCAACTCATTAATAGTCATGAAAATGCAAATTAAAACCACAACATCATTCTATTCCCATCAGACTGGCAAATTGGAAAAACACCAATCAATGTAAGCATTGTCAAGGGTGTACAACATTAGATATTACCAGCAGGGCGATCGATTGACTTTTTTTAGTATAGTAGGAGACAAGCTCCCCAGTCAGCTCAGCAATTGCACTCCTAGACAGATATCCCAGAGAGCTTTTCCCACATGCATCAGGAGACACTTGAAGAACATTCATGCATCACTGTTTGCAGAAAACAGCAAACAACTCAAATGTCCACCGACAGGTGAACAGCTGAACGGTGGTATATTCACACAAATACTTTGTAGTGCTGAGAGGGAAGCTAAGATGGAAAGTACCAACCAGGATACACCTTACTAACAATGGACGGGGAAGAGCAAGTCACAGAAGAACAGAGATTCAATTCCCACGTGGTCCAAAAATAATACTAGCATTTCTCCAGAGTTCAAAAATGCATGCGGTGGATTGCTTAGAAACACAGCCATACATATGGTAAAAGAAGAGAGAGAAAATCCCTCCAAACATGACAAAACAAAAAGCAAAGGGATGTGAAACAATGCAGGAATGGTGGAGAGGGAGGAGACGCAAGGAGGAGCCTGGGAGGGTGAGGGCCTCACAAGCTTTCTGCTGTGGCCAGAATGTTCTGTTAGCTGGAGGATGGGCACACGGATGTCTGTGGGTTTTGTTGTTGTTGTTTTGATTTGTTTGGTTGGTTTTTGTGTGTGTGTGTGTGCTTTGAAATAATTCTTAGAAATGTACATCTGTTATATACTTATTTGTATGTATTAAAGTAACAAACTGAGGGAAAAGTTTAAAAATTCTTAAGTGGCATTGTGAAGTGGTCTTGAGATGATAAAATAAGACATTTTATAAAACAATATGAAACAGTGTTTACTAAAACACACTCAGACTAGAAACAAGGTTTTCAGCAGTGCCTATCTCTGGATGATAGGATTACTGGTCTTTTTCTTTTAACTATGCATTTTAAAAATATTTCCTAGATGGACATTTTTAACATAATAAGAAGACTATAAGATTTATTATATACAGAAAGAGAGCATCTGATAAACTAAGAACGCCATGAATAAAAGCTGTGTAATGCATTACCATGCCTAGAAATGCATGCTTTTGCAAAGAAATTATTTTGAGCCAAAAGGCTGAAAGGCATCCTCTGGGATGGTAGGAATCCAGACTCTGACAAGGAAATCTGAAGCTAGATTTTTGGGTAGGTGAGGATGGGTGGGGCAGGGATCTCTTGGCTTTAACCATGCTTTTTTCTTCTGGTAAAGCAGAGGTAGTGGCAAAGGTAAAGGAACCAGAGAGCGCATTTCTAGAGTAGGATAAAAGACACGGTGGGGTGGGGTGGGGGTGACAATCCATGTGTCCTTTTCCCATTTTTAGTTGGCTGTAATGGCATTTTCCTGCTTACAGATAATTAATGACCCTAATGAGCCACACAATCACACACGAAGAGGGTTCACATTCTGAGAATCCATTTCCAGGACTGTAAGCCAACATTAAACACCTATCAGAAATGAAATGGTAGAATTCAAACCCAGTGTCTGTTGATGGCTTTGAAAAGTACCCAATTTCATAGCCATGAAATACTCCAAAACCACCTCATGAGAAAGGAAAGATCAAAGAAAAGGGCAATTCAAAAAAGATCTTGCTTTTCTCTCTCATGCATGAGAATGAGCTTATGAACTGGAGGCAGTGGTTACCCCAGCACGGCCCTTCAGAGAACCAAGGTAACCACAGTAACTGTTTGGGAACGGTCTTTTAGTTTGGAAGGTCCAAACTCTAGTTTACTGTAAGTCCCATAAGGGAGAGCCGTGAACTTCAAGTGCTGAATGGATCATTCTCTAGGGAGGCAGCAACGTTTTCTTAAAAAAAAATCCTGGTCCTTAGTGGCTGGGGAGAAGAGCTACCCCTGGGTAGCTGCCAGAAACCCTCATACCTGAAAACCTGCTGTTCTTAAAGTTATGGTATTCAGGGGAAAAAATATGTTGGGAATACTGAAGAAATTGAGTGGGAACACCAAAATTTTCATATACATGCCTATATTTTAAGAACAACAAAATAGGAACAATTTTCTCAAAATAAGCAACCATTAAAATGTCAAGGAAGAGCTTATGTATGGTTTAAAATTCCCATGAAGCTAATGAAAGCCATGCTTATTTCAGCACTGGGGGAAAATGGAAGAAAATGTATGCATATTTCTATGTAGAATTATAAAAACTTCTCACCTTTCTTGCAATTTCTTGAGTTTCTCAGGGTCTGCCTTTATCTCAGTAGCCCCCTTCTCCTCTGTGAAACCAGAGATTGCTATGGTGGCCCCATGATCATTTGGATTTGGAAAATCAGACACTGCAATGAAAGTAAAAGGTATATTTTCTTGCAGGGTCTCGGGCACATGTAAGCGACCTTGTAGATCCCTTCTTGCTGGAGAAGGGCTGGGAGAATCCACCAAGGAGAAGCTGCCTTGAGGATTTAGCAAGAGATCTTCTGCATATAAAGGAACTCCCTGAGGTTGCCTTGTTAAAGTAGTGCTCTCTGTTCCCCTGATATCAAATTCATGGGTGCTGTTTACTAGAAGATAATTGTGGTTCTCAGCATTGGCATATGGATTCCTATTTCTGATAGAGGACAGTGGCCGGCGGACATTGAACCTTGAGTTTTCCTCTGGGCCTGAACTGTGAACTAAAACAGATGACACTGACAGGTCTACTGGAACATCATCTATCAGAGCAGAATGTATCAACGGCCCAGGAGTGTTGTAAGGTGAAGTCACTGATGATCTTGGGACAGCTGGTCTACCTGAAAGCAAGCAGTCAAACGAATTTCTAGAACCATTTAAATAGTTTTGCCAATCTCTTTCACAATCATGGATAGCAGACCTATTTTCCATAGAAATACAATCACTCGGCACATCTTCAGGGCTGACGCCACTGTCTCGCCTGGGTTCAGATTTGGTGTCCCATTTGGCCTTTTTCTCATTTTCACTACCACCACTGTCATTCTCCTTCACAGACTCCCCATCAGGAAGCCTGGGGTCTTGGGACATCCTTTGCCCAACAGAAGACTGCTTTGCCACTGGCTCCACTGGATTGCTTATCCTTAGTGAGCCATGCTTGGGATCACTTCTTCTTAAAGAATTAGCTCTGTGATTTTCAGCATTTTCTTCCAAATTTTTATTTTTGGCTGGAGTCGTTGATATCCCAAGGAATCTACTTCTTTGATGATTGGAAGGAGAACGGGGTGAGTGCATACCAGCCAACAGAAGTTCTTCTTCTATGTGTATCTCTTCATCCGTGTCATCATTTTCTTGTCCAGTGTTTAATGATAACTTGGAAGAAAAATCCTCATCTCGGAACCTAAACGGTGCCCTCCTTGGCCCTCTCATGGCAGTGGGTGCTAATAGTGGTCCCAAGGACTCACTCAGCACTGGGGGGCTACTGGTTCCTTGGAAGGGCTGGGATAGGGCTGAATAGGGCTTTTTCTGGGGGTCGGCACTTGGCTCTCCTTTTTTGGCTCTCTCAACGGGTTTCTCAGGTGTCCTCATCAGCTGTGAAGACAAGGTCAAGTTTCTTCCCTCTTGAGTTGGCCTCTTCAGCTTGGTCTCACCTGCACACATTGGGCCTTCTTGTTGAACAACTGGATCTGCATTGAGAAGACACAAATTCATCATTCTATTAAAAGCACATGTGGATGAAGCCCTCTACACCAAAGCATGAGCCACCAGCGCTATGTCATATTCATTACAGGCCAAAAGCAAGCCCTGGAAAAGAAAATACACATGACCCAATTGGCGGGAGGTACCAGTGAAGTATTATAAAAGGGCTTCTTTTTACTGCTTCTGGGTTTTCCTTTGTACGCCTGTCATACTCAGGTTAGTTCCTGGATATGAGGTGACTTTGAGGATACAGATTCCTTCTGTAGAAACTTTGGGAAAACTGATCAATTCCAGGCCAGTTAGGGCTGAGGATGGAAAAATCTCCACTAAATACTGGTTTTCACTCCTTATTTATTGAAAAGGAAAACTAGCACTCTTGGAATGACTTCTACAAAAACCACTAGTTCTTTCTCTTCCTAATTCATGTCACATACATGTTTGATATCCCTGCTTCAAGACACAGCTTTGCAAAAGCTTAAATTCATCTTGGAAGATTGGGAGGAAGGTTCTAGAAGCTGGTGCTGAAGTATCCTGATGATTGTGGTCATGCTGATTATGCAGTGCAAATAAAAGTCATAAATTCTCTCAAGATATCATTATCTTCTCTTTGTCATTAGCCTCTAACAAACTTGTAACCCCTGGCTATCTTAGAATCCCTGCCTTCCCGATTCTAAAGTGTGAGCTATAGAGAGAAGAGACTGGAAGAGTGCCCAGCAAATAGAAACGTCTGTTGGTGAGATCACTTCAAAGCTTGCCTTCCACCAATAAAGAATAAGCACTACTTACTGAGCGCTTACACCAAGCAGGTCAGAACCACACCAGCTGCGTCACACACTCGGAAGCCTTGCAGCCCTAGAATAAGGTACCACAATCATACCACGTTATAACTGGGGATCATTTGCCCAGGACCCTACTTCTAGCAGGTGATGGAGTGAACTCTTTATTATTATTATTATTATTATTATTATTATATTATTATTATTGTTGTACTGGGGGTACATTGTGATCTTTACAAAAGTTCTTACAATATATCGTAGTTGAATTCACCCCCTCCATGGAGTGAACATTTGAACCGAAACCTGTTGGATGCTAGAGTTTGTGTTCTTAACTATTACCCCCAAGTTATCTCTTAAGAAACTGACTGGACTTCTGATTTCCTTGTGAAATTCAGGAGCAGTGGAATTCATCATGGGGTGTGTGTGTCTGTGTTTGTCTGTGTCTGTGTTTGTCTATGTGTGTGCGTGTTTGAGGCTTTTCCACCCTGACAATGTGGGTTATAAAACTGAAAGTGCTTCTCTGATGCTACTTCTCTTTATTCCCTTCTGACACGGGCCTGTCCCCTCTGCTCCTGTTGCTGTTCTGTGGATCTGATGAGGCTCTGCTGTCCTTGTCACTTAATTTCTAAAGCAGTTTGCCTGTTGAGTGGACAGTACCCCACAGGCCCGGAAGTTCTGTGATAACAGCTCTGCTTGGGAAATGCAAATCCTTGGAGCAACCGGCTCAGCCAAGGCCAAGTCAATACTGACTTGCTTTAATTGAGGTGCCTCACAGGGGAGCCCCAGCTCTAATGTCCTAATACTCTGTAAGCTTCCTTTATTGCTAACTGCGTGGGACACTCAGTGACACAGTGTGAGTCTTTACTCATCGGCTCTTCCAGAAATCAGTTAAACACTCCTACCAGGTCCTTTATGGGGTTTGTAAACCTGAACAAGAGATGTGTCAACAATTCAAGTTTGCAGTGGACATCTGGCTGTGTGTGAACAGGGTGGATCTAGGCTGATCCACTTTTGGGAAACAAACTGAATTTTTAATTTTTTTTTGAGAAAAAAAAGTGACACAAAGGAGTCAAAGTAGACTATGGTTGGTCACTTCTCATTTGTCATTTTTTTTTTTCCTTTCTGGGGTTTGAATTCAGGGCTTGGCACTTGTTAGGCGCTCTACCTATTGAGTCATGCTCCCAGTCCTGAATTTGAGGAAGGGCCTCAGAAGTGAGATAATGGCGTGGCGAGCAGTCTTCTGGTGGCTCCCTGAACACACGCACCTGGAAGAAGGGGAGTAATTACTACCTTCCACCCCCAATTTAGTGCAGGCTTCTGCCCAAGAAGGGAGATAATTGCCAGGCAAAAGAATTAGCTAGGTGGCTTCTGAAAAACAGAAACTGGACACTCAACAGGAACCATGAGCTCATTTCACGGAAGCCACTGAGTTGTCATGGTGTGATCAGGGCTATGCTGAAGTGCCTGTGGCTCCCAAAACACGCCAGGGACTGTGTCTTCACCCGTCCTCATCACCGTTAAGTGTCTTCCTCTTTAAAAATTCAACCAGAGTTTCTCTGGAGTGTGTGTACTTTTCCCTAAAGGTAGCAGACTGAGTCATTCTATATTTATGCCATTTTAACTCCATTGCTTTGTGTCGGTCAAAGTGGGAGCAGACTTCAGTAGCTCTGGGCTGGGAATAAACGCTCTGGTGATATGGCAGGGATATAATATTCATAGCCTAGGCCCTGCAGACGCTCAGTGCTTCTTTGAGGCCTGCCTGGGCTCCAGCTGTGGATGGAGTGCCTGCCACCTCCAGGAGGTCTAGGCACATTGAAATGAGACTGGAACAAGGGTCTGTCCACACTAACACTGCCTTTGGTCTGGACTGCCTCGTGTGAGTAAGCTCTGTATTGCAACAGCCAAAGACTTTTTATTTTTCCTTCTGCTTATAGAAGGGTCTATGGTTGGTGGAGGAAATTTGGAAGCTATAGAAGAGGATGAAATGATCCAAGCCTCCCCAGAACCAAAAGCTCAGATGGCCGTTGCTTGTGTTCTGGACCTGAGGTGGGAGCTGCAGACTCCAGGCGCCTGGGTCATTTTCACCCCACAATAGCACTTTGCTCAGCACTGGAACAATAAATTAAATGCCTTTAAGTGGAACCATGTATGTTGTGGTTTACCACAGGCCTTATAACCCTGTGGTAACCTGTAATATGTCTCTCCTATCATTCTCACCTGCTTCCTGAAGCCATGCGAATTTATAACCTAGATTTTTTTTCTTTTTTGGTGGTACTGGTGGTTGGACTCAGGGCTTTGCACTTGCTAGAAAGGACTCTACCACTTGAGCCATGCCTCCAACCTTTTTTCTCTGGTTGTTTTTGAGACCCGGTCTCATTTGGTGATCCTCCTATTTTATGCTTCCTGCATAGATGACAGGTGCACGACACCATACCCAACTATTCCAACTATTGGTTGAGATGGGGGTCTCGATAACTTTTTGCCAGGGCTGGCCTCAAACTGTAATCCTCCCCATTTCTGAGTAGTTAGGATTAACAAGCTTGAGCCACCACATCTCATTTAGAGGACTTTTTCAACAAAGAAAAATTGTAATATTTCTGTATACACAACTGTCCTGGTCTTTCCCAAAAACATTTAATTGCTGTTTATTATTCATTAAAACACTATTATAATTATAGTATAAGGGTATATTATATGAACATATCATAATTTGTTCAACTCTTTCCTTACTGCTGGGTATGTAGCCTTTTTTTGTGATACTGGGATTTGAACTCAGGGCCTCACACCTGGAAGACAGGTGCTCTACGGCTTGAACCACACTCATAGTTCTTGCTCTGAGGTTTGCGTCACAGATTATGCCATGGTGAGTATCCTTGCTCATACATCTTTGGTGACATATCTTCTTTTCTTCAAATAGACTCATGGGAGTAGAATTGCTATGTCAAAGGTATGGACTGGGCAGGCTCACTGCTATAATCCCAGCTACTCAGGGGGCAAAGATCAGGAGAATCAAGGTTTGAATTCAGCTCAGGGAAAAAGTTAGTGAGACTCCATCTCAACCAATAGTTAAGAAAGGTAGTGTGCACCTGTCAGCCCAGCTATTCAGAGTCTGAATCCAGGCTGGCCAGGGCAAAAATAGGAGACCCTATCCTAAAAATAACCAAAGCAAAAAGGGCTGAGCTTGTGGTGTCTCATTTGTACTTTCCAAGTAGTTGGGATGACAGATACATGCTACCACACCAAGCTATTTATTGTTTGAGTTGGGGTCTTGCTAAGTTTTGGAGATGATCTTCAACCTCAGTCCTCCTGATCAACACCTTCTGAGTAGCTAAGATTAACAGGCATCAACCACCACCCCCAGCTTCATCTGTCTTATTTATTTATTTACTTATTGTGGTACTGGGGTTTGAACTCAGGGCCTACACCTTGAGCCACTCCACCAGCCCTTTTTTGTGATTTTTTTTTTTTTTGAGATAGGGTCTCACAAACTATTTGCCCCAGCTGGCTTTGAACTGTGATCCCCCAATCTCTGCCTCCTGAGTAGCTAGGATTATAGGCGTGAGCCACTGGCACCCAGGGCTTCATCTGTCTTATTTTAAGATTAGGGAATTGAAACCTAGAGTTGCTACATGACCATTCAAAAACCCTGCTGCCAGGAGGAAGAAGGGGAATGAGAACTTTAACAGTGGGGTCTGCCCTAAATCTCATGCCCTTACACTCCATTGATGGGACCCCTGAGGGCATCTGGTTGCTACAGGTTCGTGTGTGCTCTAATTGCCTCTAATTCCAAGCTATCCAAATACACATATGTTTTTTTCTATATGTGTCCCCCACAGTATGTGTCACATTTAAATATGAAAGCTGCTATGTTCATTTGAAAACAAGAGTGTGATGCTGGGTGCTTTCTCTAAGGGCAAGGTTGGCTGTGGTGTGTCACTTTCCTTCAGCCCTAACGGAGCTCCTTAGGTCCTATTCTCCTTTCATTTCTACCACTGCAGGAGAGGGTGACAGGGTTAGCAGGGCTGCATGGCGTGGGCCTTCAGATGCATGCTCAGGACTGAGACTTGGAAAGAGGAAGGCTCCACCAAGCCAGTTCTTTGACATAGGGCAGATATTTGTTTTGATGTTATTTCTTACACATTAAAAGATCTTGCTGGTATGATTGCCCTAGCTCACAGGGTAGAAGGTCTCTCTGTAGGAGGTGAGCAGTCTGCCACCCACAGACATCCATCATCCTTTCCTGGCAGGTGACTTAGGAACTGTGGTCAGGTGGGACCTCCCCAGAGCTGCAGACTGCTTCTTCACCTTCCTCCCACCCCTGCATCCACTCAAAACCACACACGGTTGTGCTTAGGGAGTAGCAGGAGAGAAAATAAAAGATCAACCCCACTCACTGCCCCTTTCCCACTAGCTTGTCTTAGAATAAGACAAGATCAAATAGTTTGCTTCTAAAAACTTTAAAGAATTTCATTCTAATGTAATTCTTCGTTGCATAAAAGCACAAGCATTTAAAATCAGAAAGAAATCACCAGGTAACAGCAAAAGCCAGTCCTCTTCCCCAGGGAACAAGATGTAACATCCACGGTCCTTACCTATTCCCAGGACAGCCGGCACCTTCACTGGTAGCTGCGATTTCTGTCTGCTTCTCTCCCCAGTTGCTCTTGGGCTGTACATTTCTGGGCTCACTGTTAATCTCCCCAGATTTGGCCTCCTCTTCCTTAATAAATCTTTCTTTGCTGCTGAAAGGTGCAAAAGCTTTTCAATAATCATTCTTCCTCTTTTTTTTCAGGAAAACAACTTCAGCATAAAGAATGCTCAAAGGGCCCAGCAATGGTGGTGGAGGGAATTAAGAGAATAGACCTAAGAAGTTGGAGAAGAGCTGGATTTGAAATCTGGTTCTTCTCTCTCTTGTAGCCACATGAGCTGGGGCAAATTGCTTTACCTCAGTTTTTCCACCTGTATATGGAAATACTACTACTACCTGCCAAGGCCATTCTTACCATTAATGAGCACCTGTGACCCCTGCAATGCAGGGGCTGTAAAGGTCTCTTCTTTTACTTAAGAAGTTTCTACTTTCCAATTTCTGAGTGTTGGGCTGGGCCTTTTGATGACACTGTCAAGAAGGTTTCTGGGACACACAATGGCTCTGCTACCCAAGTACTCACCCAAGTTTGAATCACAACATATTTTTTACCTGCATATTTTTGTCCTCAGATTGTTTGTTAGCAGCAAACATGGTCTCACAGGAAGGTTCCAAGCACCTGGGACCATACACCTTTTTCCTTGCAAATGTCCCAAAGTGGCTACAGTGCTACTGTGGATTGAATTCCAGGGAACATTTTTTTCAAAATTCACATTTGGAACTAGGTTACTAATTGTTATGAATAATGTCATTTCTTTGTCATGCATAGTTAGCTCAGGGCATATGAATGTAAGGGTAAGTTTCAGTATTTTCCATGCATTTCTACCAGGTCTTGGGTTCACAAGAGAATTAAATCATCAACATCTGCACTAAATCCCCCAAGAGAATTTTCCTGGCTCATCCCCTTTTAGACAGTTTAGAAGTTTCACAAATAGACATAGCCAGCAGGCAGCACAGGGGTGAAGTTGGGATGGATCCCTGACTGGTGTGTGAGAGTACAGCCTTTCTTGGCACACGGGGAAAACTGGATTTATATTCCTGAGTGTAGGTTGTGGTTGTGTGACTAGTTTCCATCCGGTCTCAGGAAAGGGATGAAAGTTCTGTTTGGCAGGCTCTGAAGCCTAGTTTAATCCAATGACTAGGTCTACTTACTTCTGACAGGCCCCAGGAGGCGAAGGCAGAGGGTTCTGCTCTGCAAGACGGGATTGTGCTCCATGGGGAACTCCCCTCTAGAAGAGGGGAGCAGTTTATGGCATTGGGTCAATTTAGGGTAAGTTGGTAGAGCCCAGAGAAGTGGTGGGTACGGCCAGAAGGGGAAGAGAGAATGAGAGTTCTCTGGAAAATGAGAATGTTATATTTTTTGGAGGATGTAGGGTAGTGTTGACACATAATTTCACTAAGAGGGGAATGAGAGAAGGAAGGAGGAGAGAGAGAGAGAGAGAGAGAGAAGAGAGAGAGAGAGAGAGAGAGAAGAGAGGAGGGATATCAGCACAGTGAAAGTGAGGGGAAGCATTTTTTAGCACAAAAGTTGTGTTCTTTGAAGCCAGGAGCTTCTCCTTCATCACTGAGACCTCACTTCTACTCACTCCTCAGCTTTTAGAGATCAACAAACTGCTTTTTGCCTCCCAGCTGACTGACAAGAGGAGGGAACTGAGGGCCAGAAGAGACAGAGAAACCAGGGAAAGGGCAGGTTTGGGGCTCAGGCCAAATCCAGTAAACTAGAACCTGGCCTAAAGGTCCTTGTTAGGAAGATTTTACTTTGATTCTCAGCAGAATATTCAAATTTCTTCCACATCCTAGGCTGTAGCACTTCACACTGCCCCCTGCCCCCATCTTGCTGCATCTGCATAACCACAGGGGGGAAAGAGAAGTGATCCTCCCTCCCTGGGAGCCTTTCTTTCTCCTTTTATATCCACCAAGTCTGCATTGACTGTCTTTTCCAGAGCCCTTACTTTGAGGTTTTTTTTTTTTTAATGCCTTTTGCATTTAAATATTCAAAAATCACTCAATGTGTATGTATTTTCTCTCCAAGTATACAATAAACTCTCTAAAAACAAAGACCATCTCAGCTAGCCTGTGTGCTGTCCTCACACTGTCATGGAGGACTAGTGATAATTGCCCATTACGACTGACAGGGCTGAAGAAGATTCATTCAGCCCAAGATATGGGGAACTTCAAAACTAGAATAAAATTTTTGTTACACAAAACATCCAACATGACTTAAAAGGTTATTTTAGTTGTCTTTTTTTTAGTTGTTTTTTTTGAGCTGCTTTCTTTGTTCAGAAGCTTAAGCATCAGATCTGTTAAATGATTTCCAAAGCTATTACCATGTCTCCTCTATTTAAGTAATAAAAGCTGAACAGCTAGAGTTTGTTTTACCAGGTCTGATGATGGAGAAATCACCACTGTGAGTAAAGTCAGGATCTCCTGACCTTTGAAAATTTGTACCTCATTTTCTACAGCTGTAAAATGGAAATATTCTTCTTTCTTAGTTGCAGTAAAATTTAGCAATAATAAACATAAATGGCCCAACTCAGTGTCTGGTGCCTATAACTGCTAAAAATGGTAGCTGCTTCTTTTACCATAAAGAATACGAACAGCAATGAGAAGTCATGAAGTGATTTCCATGAGAGAACTAAATTTGACTAGAAACTCAATTGCTATGCAGCCTTCACAGGTTGAAAATAATTTATTCAGCAGCCTTCATTCCTGCACAGTTCTTGTTGATTCTCTCACCCAAGCCCTCTTTTATAAAATCCCAAAAGCAAATAGCAACTCTTATTATAATTTGTTCAACAAATACCTGTGGTGCCTTTGCTATGCAATAATTTGAGGGCTTGTAAAGATGAGTAAGACATTTTAGTCATGACCTTAAAGATTATGTCCTAGTTTGGTTGCACTGTGGACTTCTTCCCTGTGATAGATTAGATTCTGTGGACAGCAGACTTTTGGGAAATGTTCCTTCTTCTCCATCTGTAGTCACAGTGACAAAGGAAATGATCTCAACTGTATAGTTTGTGTACATGGATTTAAGTTTCAGACACTCATTATGTATACCAAGTTTCACTTCACTCATGTGAACAGTGAACCAAATTTCAGACTTTTGTGGCCTTTCTAAGATGAGACTGCACTATGTAATTGTGCATATATTAATTTTGTGGGAAATCTAAGTCAAATCCGCACTGGGAGATGAAATATAACTTCCTTTTCAGATAGGCAGTCAAGCCCTTTGCTTTACAGAAAAGGGAAGGATTTGCATTCAGGAGTTTCATTGCCAGGTAACTCAACATTCTGTTTGTCAGTAGACTTAGGGAAGTCTGTGGTTTGCTCTGAACCACATACTGCCCATAACCTTGTTTAGTATCTGAGCAAGGTGATGCCTCCAGCCCCAAAGAAACCAAACAGAAATCTTTTGATAAAAGGCATCTGCCTCAGTTATCTTGATAATGCTGGAAAACCATGACTGTTAACAGAATAGTTCTTCATTTGATCAGGAAAGGGGGAAAAAAAAAAGGTAGAAATCTCAAGACCCTGACAACTCAGGGTCAATCCACTGTTCACATTAATTCCATACACCTGGTAATTGTTCAGTTTCTCACATCATTTGTCATACACAGACATAGTTCTTAAAGATGAAAATCAAAAAGAAAGAGGAAAATATAGTTCCTGAACCTTTATGCCTCCTCAACACTACCTTGACTGAGATCCTTGGTGCCTAAGGGGCGGTGCTAAGAGTCCATCTAAGAGATGCCTGTTTGGAATTTCATTGCTACATTTGGACTGAGGGAAGAATTATAGCTTAATTGCAAGAGCCAATGTCGCCTTGGTGTAATAGGCAGCTTTCTGTACAGTCACAAATAATAGGTCACGTCTATTTGTCTATTTGAATGTGCTGGAAATGTGTGGTGTCTCACGTACCCAGAGAAGATCTTAATTAAAGCTTAATTATGTACCATAAATATGTTTTATTTTGGATCTCAGGAGGTGGGATTTTTGATTTTAGGAAATGCAATGCTTAATAAGTAGGCAGAAAAGAGAATGTAAACATCAGCTGAGACCTTTAATTTGTCCCTCCTCAGCATGGTTCTGGGTGGGTTTTCAGCTCTAGTGTGTGCTTTCAGAACCACCTGCCCAGTGCTACCCTCTCAGGGTGTCCTCAGCAAGTGCTTATTCACATGGCCAAGGGCCATACACAAGGAGTCTGTTGGTTCTCTGGTGGTGATGTTCCAAAGAGTGTCAGACACAGAAGTTAAGAAATCAAATGAGTCTCTGGAGATGATGGGATTTTGTTGGTGGTTCACTTCTTTAGTGCTATGAGAAGCTGAGCCCAAGGGAAGTGGTGGTGCTGTCCAGTCTTCCTGCTCCCTGAACACCACACCTCCTGGTATTGTTCATGGCATTGCCTTCTGGCCCCTCTCCTGTCCACCTCTGCCTTCTGGAAGCCTGGTGTCCCCCCTACTCCTTGACTCCTCTGTGCTGTGTGCCTTGCTGGGGGTGACTTACCACATGAGGTAAATTTTACTGGGCCTTCTAGGGCCTGGCAGGCACAGCACAGGGGTCTCAGCTGGAGTAGGACAAGAGATGGGGAAGTAGCAGAGGGCTGCTGGAGATCCCTGCTCAGTGCCTGGGGAGGCAGAAGTGGAAGTGGGGCTGGTAAAGGTGGGAAAATGACTGGAGGGAGGGAGGGGGAAGGGCTCTGGGTTGCCCGGGAGGCAGGTGGCACTAGTGCCACCTCTTGCCCGGGAGGCAGGAGGAGGCAGCAGTAATTGGTGTTGGGCTGCAGGACAGGGGAGAAGGCAAAGACAGAGCAGAAAGGGGAATATTCAACACAGAACAGGGGGTGCTCGCTGCTGTCACCTGCACAAAAGAAAAAGAGCGGTCAGGAAGCAGCACTCATGGGGGATAGGACATTAAAAAAAAAGTCTGTGAATGAATCAAAACTCAAAAAATGTCCTTCGAGGGTGGGAGTGAGGTCTCCAGGTGTCATAGACACAGTAGGTCTGGCTCCTGCTTAGGGGGCACCTTGTTTAGATCTGAGTCATTGAGAAGTAAACCTTGGGAAGTGGCATCACTTTGGAACCCTTTCTCAGGCAGCCCTGGCGGATATAGGGAAGTTCTTCCCCCAGCAAGTTCCCAAGAACATCCTGAGGTGGCCGCGTGGAAGGCTCGGTCTTTTCTCATCTCCCACAGCCAGTCTAACGAGCTGTTCTGTCAGCAGCAGATGGCAGCCTGCAGGGTCTCCCTTCAGGCAGGCTCTCTCCCCCAATCCTCCAGCTGCCACCAGTAGGAAGTTGTAGCTATGACCTAACCTAGGCTTTCTGTTGCAGAGGGAAAGCTTGGGAAAGAGAAAAGAAGCAGAGAGACCCAGGTAGGATCATGGGAAAAAAGAAGAACCAAGAGGAGTTGGGGCAGGGAGGGGGGGAAGGCAGGTGGACAAGAGAGGTGTCCAAGTGAAATTAATGATTTGTTCACTAACCTTACTCCACTGCCAACCTCACTAGAGGCACAGTAAGGGTGCCTGGTGGAGCTGTTATTCAGAGTGACTCCCTCATACCTACCACTAACCAGCTCGGTCACCTTGAATCACTGCTTAAATTCTCAGAACCTGTTTTCTCATCTGCAAAATGAGACAGGTGTTTTCTCCAGTGTGACTCCTCAAGGGTGATATCTAGACCAGCAGCATGGGAACTTCTTAGACATACAGCATCCCAGCTCACCCAAACCCACAAAATCAGAACCTGTATTTTATCAGGGTGTTTTCCATGATCATTAAAGTTTGAGAAGCGAGGTTCTGTCTGAGACAGTTGCCCAACCTCTGTGATGAGAATTACCTCTACTGCTTGTTAGAACGGTTTTGTAGACCCCTTTATTGGAGGTTTGGATTTGCTATGGTTTGGATCAGTATTCCCCACCACCCCCACCACCAATAAAGGTCCCAGTGTTAAAGGTCTGGTCCCCAGGGAGGTCAACCTTGTGGGTCACTGGGGGTGTGCCCTTGAAGGGGTTTGTGGGACTCTCGTCCTTTCCTCTTTCTCTTTTGCTTCCCACCTATGAGAACAGTTTTGTCCTAATGTGTGCCTCTGCCTTGATGTGCTGCCTCACTACAGGCCCAAAAGCAATGGGTCTCCTGATCTCAGACTGGAGCTTCCAAAAGTATAAGCTAAAAATAAACTTTTTTCTCTTTATAAGTTAATTGTCTTAGGTATTTCGTTATAACGATGTGAAGCTGACTAACACAGAAACTCTGGGCCAGGGAGGGGAAGCAGGAATTTATATTTCCTGGTGATTCTTACCATCAGAGAAGCTTGGAAAATGCTGCAGCTAAAATCAGTTTCGATTCTAAAATGAATGGTTGAAATCCTTGTAACCATCCAGTTGAAAACCAGTTGAAAAATGTTGAAGACATTTTTCTGTCTTCCTTTATTCTTCACTGAACTGTTATCTTCCAAAGATTCTTGGTCATGCCTCTTCTTAGTCCATTTATTCCCAAAGGGGAGGAATGTTCACAGTTTTAGCCTCTCTCTGACTCCTTGAGGCACTTGGGTTCCTACTAGCAGTGTGCAGTGCTCTGATAAGCAGCAGACCTGGATACTAGGCTTCCTGGTATTTTCACCTAGCTATCCAGGATGCACCTCAAAGACCACACCACAGAATAAGACCCGCCCTCTTCTTGCTTTCTTAGTCTTGGCAAAGACAGTCTTCATTGGCCTCATTTTCTTGGTCAGATCCCCGAATTCTCTTTTTCCTGATCCCAATATCTTCACGTTCTTCAAGGCTTACTTCCTGAGACATCCCTCAAGCCATGCCCTCTTCCCTTTTCTTTCTGCTTTTGTTCCAGGTCAAGTCCTTCCCATTCTCTTGGATCTACTGCAATGGTAGCTTGTCCGGTCTCTTCAGCTATGTCTGACTGCCCTCACCCTCCCAGGCTACAGTTGGTGTTAAAAATACCAGTCCGACTGTATCACTTCCTTGCATAGACTCCTTCGATGACTGGTGCTTGAATGTTACCTTCAGTAGACATTCAAAGGCTACTGGTCCTTGTCTACTGGTAGAGTCTCAACTCTTTTTCTCTACACTTCTAATTTGTAGCCTGACCCTAAACCAGAGCTTCTCAAACTCACCAGTATCCCTGAGATAGCTTGTTAGGTGCAGACTCAGTCAGTAAGTCTGGCACAAGGCCTCAGGTTTTGCCTTTCTAACAAGCCCTACGGCTCCGGGGACACTTGACGGCAGAAGGCCATATGCTTTTTGTAGCTACTTGGTTCAGTCCATCTGTCTGTCTCTCTTCTCTAGGCCTCTGCATGCTCAGCACCTCTGTTGGGCACATCTTTCTTGCTCTTTTCACCTGGGCTAAATCCCCTGGTCTTCAGGTTTTTCACCTTGCTCACTCCTTCCACAAACTTACCTTGGTCAGAGTGTGCACTATTTCCCTTTTTGGTGTCCTGGCTGCTCACCAGGCCTGGAGTCTCTGGAGGGCAGGTCCTGTGTGTTTATTTCTGTATCCCCAAGGCTCAGAGGGGAAGCATGGAGTGAATGTAGGGCTGAATGAATGAGTGATGGGCAAAAAAAAACAATTCACCCTGGTATCATACATCCTGGGACAGGGTACTGAGGGTAGGGGCGGGCAGTTGAATGTATTTATCAACTTCCCCACAAATACTGGGTAAAATGGATAACTTTATACATGATCAAACACTTGAAGCATTTTGTAACTAAATTATGATCCCTCTCATATCTCAAACTAAACTTTCTTGGTCAACAGCAGTTGGTGTTGGGAGAAGGCAGGAAGGACTGGGGATTGATCGTAAGGCCCAGCTGATACCCAGGGTCTTAAATCTTCCTGTCTATGTGGTGAGGTAGGTAATACTGCAACTCTATTTACTGATAAGGAAACTGAGTTCAGAGAAGTTGCCATCTTGCATTTATAAGGATTTATAAAGTGGTAGAGCCAGGATTCTGAGGCAGGACTTCCCATTCTGGGCTGTATGACCCCCTTCTGTCTCAGAAGCATTAGCAAAAATGGACTGAGAATTATGATTCTTTCTATAAGAATGGGAATATTCATTTATATTGTTTTGGTTTTTTCTAACTTGGAAAGATGGCTTGGAAAGTTATTGAATAGTAACTGGACTTGCCGGGAAATTCATTGCTCTTGGCCTTTTGGAGAAAATCTTCAATAGAATTTATTTACAAGGCAAATTATGAAGATTTAGGATTTGCCCTCAAATTCCTCTTCCACACTGATCTTTAAATAAATATTTCCCAATCCAAAAGCAACCACAGTTATTTTAGATTTTTATCTTTTAAAACCTGAATTCACTGCTTTTGCTTAGTTTTACAAGAACATGTCTTCAAGATAAGCCACAATAAGGCAGAATAGATCTTGCTTCTCCCACCAATCTGAATCTGGTAATGACTAATGTTGAACTTGGTAATAAGTGAGGATAATTTCAGAACACTTGGCTGTGTTTTAAAGGGCAAGAGTTTGGAAGCAGACTCCCAGGACTCCATCCAGATCCATTTTCCTGGAACATAACCAGGGAGGCTCTGTCCAAACTCCAGGTGAGAGCAGAAGGCACACTGGCTTCCCACGTCCTGGCCCTGGGGTAGAGAGCCCTTCAGGACTCCAGGCGCCAGAATCCCACAGCACAGTGGCCTTTGGATGCCTTTCCTTGTCCTGGAAAGGAGAGGCGGCTCTTTTCCAACCTAGGCTGGATCTAGGAAAATCTTGAGAGCAGTCAGGAGTCAGAGGCCACCACAGCTCCCCAGATGTCCTGGTACCCCTGCACTGGCTGGGCCTGTCAACTGTCCTGTGTCATACTAATCCATATAGAATTCTGAAGTATACACAGCTTTGCTAGGCTTATTTCTCACCAGACACCAGTTTTGACCTTGGTCATGAAAGAAGATTTCTGAATCAATTGCACATCAGACCCAGATGGGTTTTGACACACAGCCTGAATTTGCCATATCTTTCTGGAGATAAAGCATCTCTCTGGCTTGGTGAGTACTGTCTGATTATTCATCCTTTTTTCTATTTGGTGTTTTGCTTTGGAAATTCAAGAGTGTAGTTAAAGTGTCTATACCTGCATTTATGTGAGAAATTAAAAAAAATACAGCTCTAATTTTTGTGAAGGAAAAAAAGAAGTAGGGGTGGGAGGAAAAACTTTAGTCAAGGAAAATAAAATTTTTCTATTCCCATGTTCCTTACCAAATGCTGCTCTCATGTGCTAAATATCATAATGACATAATATATTGAATGGTTACAGGGTCAGAACTATTTTAAAAGTCTACATTTTATCATTGAACATTCATAGAAATCCCAGCAGGTAGGCTGCTGTCCCCATACTCCCTATTTTATAGGTGACAAAACTGAGGCACAGAGAAATTCCCCGTCAAAAGGTTAACAGCATAAGAAATGGGGCCTGGATGCTAACTTAAACATTTTGATTTGAAGGCACTCGCCTGCAAACTGCACCCCCACGTTGCAGAGAGGAATAAGGAGGAGAAGTGTAAGTTGACTCATCCAGAAACAGCCCCACAGGACATATCACCTTGAGTTTAATCGTGTGTCCTCTTTTGGATAGAGTATGAAGTGAACAGTGAGAATCTAGTGCCTTCTCAGTTCTGAGTCCATTTGTAGAGGGCATTGAGTGGTCCTGTGCTGTTAGCAGCTGTTTCAGGGGTCTCCATGGCAGTCCACATATAAGCGAAAACTCTTTTTAGGACGTGGGTTGGTGGTAAATCAAGTCACATTCTCCAGGGGTATTGTTTTATTTGGGCAAAACCTGGCATAACACAGTGTGAAAAGAAGGCTAACCTGTTTGGCAGATGTCACAGAAGGATTTCACTGTGATCCAAGCTTTGGTTTTGCTTAGGTCTGACATGAAAAGAAGTTTTGGTGATGTACTGCCAAGCTTGGGTCACCCCAAAATGCTTTAGGAAGAGATGGAGAAAAGCAGGAAACTGAATTCAGCTAGGGAATTAGATCAGTGTCCAGATAATTCAGGAACCAAAATCCTCTTTTTCTGTAACAGCAAGTTATTTATCTGAATTGTACGCATTGTTACCAACCTCCAATTTGGTTTCTCCTGAATACACTGGGCTTGATTTTTTTCACCAGGTCTCTAGGTTCATTTTGCTGTGTTAATTAGGAACTAGGAGGGTGAATTAAAGGAGTAGGTCATAACATGCCACTGCTTTGTTGGTAGTCAGTTTGTTATTTTGTTTTATTTATTTATTTTGCAGTACTGGGGCTTGAACCCAGGGCATCACACATACCAGGTAAATGTTCCTTTTGTTTTTTATTTGGTTTTTGAGACAGGATCTTGCTACTTTTGCTGGGGTTGGCCTCCAACTTGTGATCCTCCTGCCTCTGCCTCCCAAGTAGCTAGGATTACAGGCACATTCCACCACACCCAGCTGCCTTTAGTCAGCTTCTTGATCAACCCCGATTGCTGCACCCCTAGTTGGACTTTGCAGCTCTGACATTCCTCGCCAGGACCACTGGGCTGGCTGGTCAGCCAACCCTGAGTTGCTCACCACTGAGTGGGTGTTGGACATAGGCTAGGACCATATTACGTTGACAGAGATGGAGGTTTGTAAACGAGTCTGCTATGAATAACATCCCTCATTTGATGTAAAAGCTATCTTTCTGCCAAGTTGGCTCTCTTGCCTAAACCTTGGTGTGTTTTTTCAGCCTGGTAATCCTTCAAATCTGATGTTTTACAGAATGAGGAGTGAATTAATTCCTTCTTTTTTGTCACTGCAGCAAGTTCCATATGGAATTTGCTCAGTCTGAAAAACATCTGTATTAATCAAGTGGACCTCAAAGGCTTATTTTAATGACTTCTCTCCACAGATGACAAGGCAAACAGCTACAAACTTCTTGCTCAAAATTATATCGAATGGAGTTGCATTATTTAAACTTACACTCAAATTTTTACCATTAAAAAGCATCTTTAATTTAATAACTTTGGACTTCTATGTTGAAGTAGTTGCAGAATGATCTCATTTGCTCTATTTCAGACTTCAAACAGTTGAATTAAAAGCCTAATTCCTACTTAAAGTCTTTAAAAAGAGAAATTAACTTGGATGCTAGTCTCCCCCTAGATTAAATAAGGAGTTGGGGCTTTGCCTGAGTGGATGTCATTTCAGAAGTCAATTTGGTTTTGACTTCATTAAAGCTATAACATGTGAGGGTTCATTTGAGTGAAAACTGCCATTTTGTACAAATGCATTCAGACTTAACTGGATGGGTGGTTGCATGACAGGAACTACTTAGGATTAGGAAGTAGCTGTGATTGGGATTTTAATGGGTCACACGCAATTTACGAATTCTTCACAGTTTGGAATCTTTCCCAGAAGGCAGGCCTTTCCACCTAGTTACCTCAACTCATATGCTCTGTTCCCAGAGGATTCAAGATTGTCCGACCCATGGTGGCTTTGATGGAATGAGCCTGAGGGACTCTAAACTTTCCTGTTGGTTTTAGTTCCTTTCTGGATATTATGAAGTCACTCTTGCCCCAAGCAAAAGACTGGTCTTTGCTTCAAAGGCAGCTAAAAGCTGAATTATTTACCAAATTGCACAAAAGTAAGGATTTATCAAGTTCCTTTTCTCCCTGAGAGGACAAACCCAGGACTGGAGGACCTTATTACTCTCCCTTCTTGATTATAAATTACACCATTCAGATGCTTTTGAGAGCTCCTCTAGCCTGAGTCATAAAACTTGATTCCTAGGACCAAATGCCTTTAATGCCCCAGGAAGCATGAGGAAGTAAACAGGCAGCAGTTCCCGTGAGTGTCACACAATGTTGATGAGTGTTTGGAGAAGTGGTCAGTGGGGGACACTTTGCATAATTCATGCCTCTTTGACCTTACATTCTACTCTGAAATTAATTTTACCATTTGCATTGGACCATTGGCCTTCCAACAAAGACTTGAATTGAGTCACTTGAAGAACATTAGGTTCAACCAATACTGCCACTGTGAGTTTTGTGATTTTTGTTTTTAAGACAGGGATTTTAGATGTTGTGAATTTCAATAAACCAGTCACTCACCTGGAGAAGGTTTGCTGGGGCCTACTTTCTCTAGTTTCCTTGGAGTCATGGTACTTTTATGTTTCTGCTTGACGGATGTTTGGTCAATTGCAGGAAGTCTGGAATCACACGTTACTGAAGGCATCTTGGTCCATTTTGGTTCAGTTAGATAATCCTCCTCACTAGAACTCTACCGGAAATAAGAGATATGTAAGTATCAGTGGCCAAGTAGGTCACCTTTGCTAGGCAGAGAAAAAAAGAAACACGCAACTGCAGCCATCCCTCCAGCAACTTAACACCAAGGATCATGCTATACTCAACATGCCCTTAGGCCAAGCAGATTTGGACAGGCTCAGAAGATCTGCTTAAAAATAGCAGCGAAGTTAATGAATCCATTTTGTAGAATATTACAAAAAGCATGCATTTCTGACCCTTAAGTAATTTGATGACCAATAAAGAGCTCATATTAAAAGCTACATATGAAAGGAGAGGAAAAAAATCAGTGCTTTTAAAATTTTTTGCTATTTGTTATTTGAACTACTTTGGGTATGGGTGAAAGAAAATGTTCCTTATGTTAATCATGCATTTAACAATGAGAAGAAACTTTAGATAGTGTGATACAGACTTATAAATCAGACCTCAGTTTCAATACTCTGAATTACTGAATGCAAAATAAGACAAATGAAGCTCTTAAAAATCCCCTCCTTGTCCGTCTTCTATGAAGAAGTTGGTATCGATCTATGCATGGACAAACCATGATCCTTGCAGAATCAGTATCTCAACACAGCCTTGCAGACACCATAAAAATTACCCAGGCAGTCAACAGTTTTATTCTTTGCTACATATAGCCACCAAGAAAATAATGCAACTGATATAAATGACTATCAGAAACCTGGCCTTAAAGGGTGAGTTAAGTGCAGTCTCATGGTGTTAGGTCCCTGGGCCAGCACTATTTGCTAGGGTGGGAATTCTGCAACAAACAAAGTCGCAAGGATTTTCCCCACCCACCCCAACTCTAGTGGGGGGCTCCCCCACATTGCATAATAGTCCGATACTGGAAAATTCTCTGCAAATGTGGTCCTTTGCAAACATGGAATGCTAAATTAATGTTGCCAGCACCTCCCCAACGGTTGCATTTTGTATTGATCTTGCTCATCGGTCTCACTGACAGTTGTGGCATTTTCATTTCACAGGTTCCTGACTCAGGAAAATACTCTGTATAGCTTTGACTTATTGGGTACGATGTAAAACAAACTAAATTCGTAAAAACTCCTCCATTTGTCAGTCTTCTACACAGAAGTCTTTATAAATCTACAGGTGGACAGGTCATTACCCTCCAAGATGATACATCATGTTTTTCAATTTAGAGTTTGAATACAGCCTGCAAACAAATAATTATTGTTACTCCAAACGCTTTCGAAAAACAGACCCCCCTCGGATGAAGGAACAGGACATAATGAATTGATTGTTTCCCCTTTTCCCTTTCAGTTCTGTGACTTAATAGAAATCCTTGAAAATTATTCTGAAATGTCAAAGATGAAACATTAGGTCATTCATGGACATGAGTCCCCTATTCTCAGAGAAGGGAGTGTCGACAAATTTTAATTATGATGCCTAAGCCCGTCATTGTAATTTGGTGATGGAAGACATGGGTCCAAAGAACAGTAGTGAGCATGGGACAGAATTTCTTTTCCAAACTTCCCAACACAGTTTGCTTACTTTAGTGAGCTGAGAAGTCTATTCATCCAAAGCCCCACCCTTTAGCCTTTTTCAGTCCACAGGAATGCAGGAAAGCTGCTCCAGGCTAAGACTTTCCGTGCCACAACATCACAGCAGGTGTCTGCTAATGTTAGCCAATCCATCCCCATCACCTCCAACCAGGGCTGGAATTCTTTGCTTGCCCCAGGCAGTGGGGAGTTGGGAGGAGTTGTTTGAGACTCTTTATTGGGTGGGTGTTAAGCTGTATTAAAATCCTTCCTTCACCCTTTCATTACACCTTGAGCCTTTAGTCACACTGAAGGGGTGAAAGAAAGTTTGGCCAATTTAATTGCCTGTTAAGTATGGGACTATGCACCTGCCTTCTGAGTGCCTGTTCCATGGCTTTACTTCCAGGTGGTCATCATTCTTAAGAGTCCAGAAATTGCCACTAGAAGTGGCTGTTTTTGTCAGCTGGAGACAGAAGTCACAATAGCAAGGCCTGCAAAACTTAGGAATGTGCTAATGGATCTTTCCTTGCTTGCCCCGTTGAGCAGTCTTAAACAAGTTACTTCAGCAGGTTTTGTCTTTATTCACGTTCCTCTCCTGTTCTCAGCCATTCTCATCTGTCCCCTCTCATGAAAACCCATCAGCCCATCAGGAGAAGATGAACCTTGCGTGAGAGAAGTTGTAATAACTCATTCTGGCCCTAAAGTATGGTATTTAAACTCTGGAGCCCAGTTTCCTGGGAGTGAATTCTGGCTCTTGTTTGTAACAATAGTGTGACATGGAGCTTAGCTCCCTTCTTGGCATCTCAGATTTTTTCATCTGTGAGCAAGAGTACCTACTTTTTTGGTGGCTTCATGAGAATTAAAGGAAATAGGATATGCGTATACTGCTTATAATATTTTATATATAGTGTTATTTGTGTTGGCTTTTGTAATTAGTTATTAGTTATTCACAGTCAGTCATTTTCCTCCTCATTCTTATTCTTTGAGACGGGGTCTTACTATATAGCCTAGGCTGATCTTGAACTCAAGATCCCCTTGCCTCTGCCTTTTCAAGTTCTAGGATTACAGGCCTGTGCCACCATGCCCAGTCAGCCAGCCACTTTCAAAATTAAGTAGCTAACTCCTCAACATTAACTGCCCACTGATGAAACCTGAGCCAAAGGCCCCAGTGAAAAATCCTACTGGATTTGCTCCCTTCCAAAGAGATGTGAACAGAGAGGTAGTCTGTTCCTACATGGCACACTTGGTTTCTTCCACAGGCTGTATAATTTATAATCGTTATAAATAGCCCGTTAGTTGAAATTCACCCAGTCTTGAGAAAATATGGCACAATTTTTCAGACAATTAAGCTCTGACAAATATTTAACAATATTTAGAGATTATCAAACAATAAAAATTAAATTTTTTGACTTAAAGTTGATCTTAAAAACTGTGTCTTTTCCTCTTATAATTTTTGAAAATTACAGTTTTCATTTCTTCTCCATATGTTCCTAAGTTGAAATGTCACATGGAGGTGGAGACACAGCACATTGCTATTCCTTTGGGAGAAGAAAACCATCTTTATCTTTCAAAATCAATGCCTAAAACATGGAGAAAAAAAAAAAAAAAAGACACAAACCACCAAACAAATAAAAAACTACAACAAAAACCGCAACCTATATGATGCATGAATATAGCCTAATATTGAGTATTTGATGAAAGTCCTAAGAAGCCACGCTAACTAAAATAAGGTATTGATCAACATCAGTTTTTTTCTAGAGTATTATTACTTTTAGATTTAAAGTTTTCCAGAGATCCACAACTTGCCCTTCTGGCATCATACATAATACAGTAGAGATATGACTTTGTTCGGGGCTCAGCTCTAAGACTCTCACCAAGAGAAGGGACTTGCTATCTCTTAGTTGCTGTGCTGCTGGGGTTTCATTGAGAAAGTTCCTACCTATACCTACTAACTCCAGAGTATTTCCTACTCTTTCTTGTATCAACTTAAGAGTTTGGGGTCTGATATTAAGATCCTTGATCCATTTTGAGTTAATCTTGGTATAGGGTGATATACATGGATCTAGTTTCAGTTTTTTGCAGACTGCTAACCAGTTTTCCCAGCAGTTTTTGTTGAAGAGGCTGCTATTTCTCCATCTAGCTCCTTTGTCGAGAGCTCCTTTGTCAAAGATTGCTCATAGTTGTGTGGCTTCATATCTGGATCCTCTATTCTGTTCCACTGTCTTCATGTCTGTTTTGTGCCAGTACCATGCTGTTTTATTGTTATTGCTTTGTAATATAGTTTGAAGTCAGGTATTGTAATACCTCCTGCATTGTTCTTTTGACTGAGTATTGCCTTGGCTATTCGTGGCCTCTTGTTTTTCCATATAAATTTAACAGTAGATTTTTCAATCTCTTTGATGAATGTCATTGGAATTTTGATGGGAATTGCATTAAACATGTAGATTACTTTTGGGAGTATAGACATTTTTACTAAGATAAATGGGACCTCATAAAACTAAAAAGCTTCTGTTCATCAAAAGAAATGGTCTCTAAACTGAAGAGAACACCCACAGAGTGGGAGAAAATATTTGCCAATTATACATCAGACAAAGGACTGATAACCAGAATATACAGGGAACTTAAAAAACTAAATTCTCCCAAAACTAATGAACCAATAAAGAAATGGGCATGTGAACTAAACAGAACTTTCTCAAAAGAAGAAATTCAAATGGCCAGAAAACACATGAAAAAATGCTCACCATCTCTAGCAATAAAGGAAATGCAAATTAAAACCACACTAAGATTCCACCTCACCCCTGTTAGAACAGCCATCATCAGCAACACCACCAACAACAGGTGTTGGCGAGGATGCGGGGAAAAAGGAACCCTCTTACACTGTTGGTGGGAATGTAGACTAGTACAACCACTCTGGAAAAAAATTTGGAGGCTACTTAAAAAGCTGTACATCGATCTACCATTTGATCCAGCAATACCACTCTTGGGGATATACCCAAAAGACTGTTACTCCAGAGGCACCTGCACATCCATGTTTATTGCGGCACTATTCACAATAGCCAAGTTATGGAAACAGCCAAGATGCCCCACCACTGACGAATGGATTAAGAAAATGTGGTATCTATACACAATGGAATTTTATGCAGCCATGAAGAAGAACGAAATGTTATCATTCGCTGGTAAATGGATGGAATTGGAGAACATCATTCTGAGTGAGGTTAGCCTGGCTCAAAAACCAAAAATCGTATGTTCTCCCTCATATGTGGACATTAGATCAAGGGCAAACACAACAATGGGATTGGACTATGGAGCACATGATAAAAGCGAGAGCACACAAGGGAGGGTGAGGATAGGTAAGACACCTAAAAAACTAGCTAGCATTTGTTGCCCTTAATGCAGAGAAACTAAAGCAGATACCTTAAAGCAACTGAGGCCAATAGGAAAAGGGGACCAGGTACTAGAGAAAAGGTTAGATCAAAAAGAATTA